AGGGAAGGTGGGGGTTGTGAAGGGGACTTGAATACAAGAAATCGGAGCTGTGAGGGGGACTGGGGTGCAGGGATGGGAGGTGGCTGTGAAGAAGAATTGGATACAAGAAAGGGGGGGCTGTTAGGGGGACTGGGGTGCAGGGATGGGAGGTGGTTGTGAAGGAGAATTGGATACAAGAAATGGGGGGCTGTGAGGGGGACTGGGTTGCAGGGATGGGAGATAGCTGTGAAGGAGAATTGGATACACGAAAGGTGGGCTGTGAGGTGGACTGGGGTATGTGGGGGCTGTGAAGGAGACTTGGATGCAAGGAAAGGGGGGTGGCACTGTGAAAGAGACTAGTATACAAGAAAGAGGGGCTGTGAAAGAGACTGGGATACAAGAAAGGGGGTCGGGGTTGTGAAGGGGACTTAGAAAGGGGACTTAGGTGCAAGGAAAGAGCGGGTGGCTGTGAAGGGGACAGGGATGCATGAAAAGTGGGGTGGGGCTGTGAAGAGGACTGGGATGCAAGTAAAAGAGAGGCTGTGAAGGGCACTGGGATGCAAATAAATGGGAGGGGGCTGTGAAGGGGACTGATGTAAAGGGGGAGGTCTGTGATGTAAGAAAGGGGGTTGTGATGTGAAGGGGGACTGGGGACACTGAAGGAAAGGAGACATTGTGATGCAAAGGGATTTTGTGAAAGGACTGGTATACATGGAAAGGGGGGAGGGCTGTGAAGGAGACTTGGATACAAGAAATGGAGGCTGTGAAGGGGACTTGAATACAAGAAAGGGGAGCCGTGAGGGGGACTGGGGTGCAGGGATGGGAGGTGGCTGTGAAGAAGACTTGGATACAAGAAAGGGGGGCTGTGAGGGGGACTGGGGTGCAGGGATGGGGAGTGGCTGTGAAGGGGACTTGGATACAAGAAAGGGGGGCTGTGAGGGGGAGAGAGAGAGAGAGAGATTATTATTTTACTGCACTCCCATTAAGTAACAAGTCATTTGGTTAAATCAACTGACCAAAAATGAAGATCTCTACAGAGAAGTAATCTTCTCTTCCATTCAATTACACACTTTTAGTCAGATTTCAAGCCTGCCCACCTGGCAAGGTAGACTCTTCTACGGCAGGACCTACACTAAGCTACCCTACTTGATGCTAGTCATCATTAGTGTTGGATGTATGTATACAGTAGGTCTCATCCTAAAACCTGTGTGTAATGTATTTAACCCTATTTTGTTTGTCCATCTGTATAAATTTCACAATGCGGAAGAGAGGGGGGTTACATTTCCTTGCCAGTGACCACAATGCAGAGGATAAGGGGTTACTTTTCACTGATGATTGAAGATCTGTGTAGAGAAGTGATCTCTTCCATTCAAAGACACACTTTTGGCCAGAAGATTTCAAGCCTGTCCACCACGGCAAGGTAGACTCTTCTAGGGCAGAACCTACAATAAGCTACCCTATTTGATGCTAGTCATAATTTTACTAGTGTTGGATATATGTATAGTATTTAGTGCGCCTTATCCCATAAACTGTGTGTTATCTACTTTACCCTGATTTGTCTGTGTAAATTTCACTGCCACTGACCACAATAGAGGGGGGTGGAGGGAGGGTAAATATCACTGCCACTGACCACAATGCAGGAGAGTGAGGGTTAAATTTCACTCCCACTGACCATACTGCAGGGGAGTAGGGAGTTAAATTTCACTGCCGGTGTCCTGTAATGCAGGGGTTGTAAAAGTGGGATAGATTTCACTGCCACTGACCACAATGAAGGGGTTAGGGGGGGTTAATGTATTATTGAACTTACTGAAACCAATATCAGGGGTTTGTATTGCATCCATTGACATAGATTCTGGAGGTTATTGCGCTCACTGACACTGATGCTGGGGTTATTTTTATACTCACTGGCACCTACAGTATGTTGGGGGTTAATATTGTACTCATTGATGCAGATGCAGGGGTTATTGCACTTAATCACGCCAATGCTGAGGGTTATTAATATACTCAATGACACTGATGCTGGATGTTATTATTGAATTTACCAATATGATACCAATGTTGGGGGTTATTGTTGCATCCACTGACACCAATGCTAGTGATTATTATTGCATTCACTGACACCAATACAGAGGGTTGTTATTGTGTCCACTGACATCAATGCAGGGGCTTTTCATTGCATTCACTTTTTATTCTGTCCACTGACAGTTCTGGCGCAATAAAGGAGCCCGGTTTCGGGGTGACGAAGGGGCCCAGTTTTAAAGTGACGAAGGGATCCAGTTCTGGGGCAAGGAAAGGGTCCTATTCTGGGGCAATGTAGGGGCCTGGTTCTGGGATGAGGAAGGAGCCCTGTTGAGTTCAGACAAAGGGCCCTGTTCTGGGGCAACAAAGTGGCCGGTTCTAGGGCGATGATCATCAGGTAAAATAATGTGTGAAGCAAGCCAAAAATCCATGATCAAACCTCACTAATCATGGACAGGACCAACCTGTATCATTTTCAACCTTATAAACTATGTAACAATGTAAGTCAAAAACACAAGGTCAAAAATATTCTTCTCACTAAGAAAGACTGACTCACACAACTGTCACTGTCACACTTTCTATGACATTAAAACCTCTGTGAGCATTATTCCTTAAACAGTTGCATCCCCAGATGGCTGGATATTCCCCTACGCATTTGTGTTCTGTAGGCTTTTGACAGTATGGGACATTTATGGTCAGCAGTAAATACCATACAATCTGATTGGACAATCTTCTTTAGATCTACCAACAGCTAGACTATACAAGGATCTACCTGACTGGTAGTTAAAGTGAAGGAGTTGTGGATGTAGTACTACCCCCACAGGAACCACTTGGTAGTTTGAGTTCTCTATTCTGTGCCTCAACTCCAAGGACAACCTCAACCCTCTGACACACCTGGTTGAATTGAAGTTACTGCAAGTGCTTATAAGAACACAAGCCTAGATACCTTTAACTTGGCTGTGAATTAGTACCAGGAAATAGATGCAAGAGCATTTAGTGGTAAATTAACTCAATGTATTGGTTAGCATAAATAATGGTATGAACATGAATAAGCATACAGAAAGTAGGTTTAGACAGAGTCTGCAAGACAGTATAATCACTATGTCTCTGAGTAACTTAGAATAGAGTTCTGTACCACTAGCCTGGAATAAACACATAGATCAACAATGTCAGCAATAAACAATGCATATAAATATTAACTGCATGTCACGTACCTGATGGGAGACTGAAATGACGAGGTCGGCCTCACTTGTGTCACTAGCCCTGACCCCACTGGAGTTGCAACAGAGGGAGTCTAGGACCCAGGGGAACAAGAGTGCCAGTAGTTGTTGTTTGCAGTTCTTGCAGATGAAGACCTTGGAAGGCTGATGATCCTCTGATTTTGGCACAGTAGTAGTAGGCAGAGCAGGTTTTGCAGATTGCCAGGCATGCACCAGAGCAAGGCAGGTAGTGAGGACAAGAGACAGGAGCAATGTCATGGAATAGCCAGGGTCATCAACAGTCGGGCAGCACGGTACAGAATCAGAAGGAAAAGCCAAGGTCAGGAGCAGAGCCGAAGTCAGGAACCAGTATCAGGAGAGCAATGAGAGTCAGGTGAGGAACAAGCCGGATCAGCAACAAAGGAATCACACAGGAACAAGCAGGACACGGGGGAGCTGAAAACCAGTCAGCACTGAACATGAGCAGAGGCACTCCTTAAATAGGCCGCCTGGCACCAATCTTCGCCATGCGTATGCACGTGCGTGTGCGCGATCGCGCATTCCTGCGTGCATGCGCACAACCGGCAATTCTTCTGCAGGAATTCCTATGCGCATTTCCGATCATGATTCTTCTTGCCGGAAATCCCTTACACTGCAATGTGAATAATAATACTATAACTAGTCTAGAGTGCACTCTAGAATAATGATTAGTATATGGTGCAATGTCCTGTGAGAGGTACATCTTAATAATACTTAGCAATACTTAAAGTTCTATGTGTAGCAGCTGTAAATGGGCATTCTTTAGTCTTAACTCTTCAGCCAGCTAGCGTTGGGGCCCAATTGTACTACTGGTGAAAATGAGAATAGTTCTCATGTAAGGCTGCAGGCATCAGTAAGGCTAATAGATGGCTGTATGGTTTGTTCCTAAAGGGTTCAGTCTCTCTAGCAGCAGGTAGTAAATCCCACAGCAGCAGCAGCTCACCAGTCCCAGCAATATTGCAGCTTACCATACATTCACACACAGCAATTAGTCCACTCTCTGCTCTGCACCCTGGTGACTGTCAGCACACCTGAACTCAGCACTCCGGATCCCTCTCAGGCCACTGATATGCTGTAGTGATGGTACACCTTGGGCCACGTGTGCACTGTCCATTCTCCCTCATGGCAAGAGGAAGCTGTGTCCTGTACAGCCTGGAAAAATGCAGCTCTTTTCCCTCCTCCCAGAAATCTTCTGTTTAGGGAATGTAGTTCAAAAGCTATTAACTACACAGTAGAGTCTCTCCTCAAGACTACAGTTCCCACAGTCCAGTACTGCGTGACTCAAGCTGTTGAACTCTTCTGGCTCAGCAGCTTCCTCCTCTTACTGATATACAGTTGTGTTCAAAATAATAGCAGTCAGACATCACTAACCTGATCAATCACTGTTTTTGGTAGAAATGATATTTCTACATGGCAAATAATTTACTAACAGGTGTAGTAGAGTAATAGAAATCCAACAGACCCAACAGTCATGACATGCATGCTGCTGATTCTGTGTAATTGAATCACTAATTGAAAGGGGTATGTTCAAAATAATAGCAGCGTGGAGTTCTATTAGTGAGGTCATTCATTCTTTGAAAAACAGGTGGCAATTATTGCCCTTATTTAAGGAAGGAAGGCAGCAAATGTTGTACATGCTGGTTACAGTGCATTTCTCTCTGAAATTCTGAGGAAAATGGGTCGTTCCAGACATTGTTCAGAAGAACAGCGTACCTGATTAAAAAGTTGATTGGAGAGGGGAAAACATATAAAGAAGTGCAGAAAATGATAGGCTGCTCAGCTAAAATGATCGCAAATGCTTTAAAATGGCAACCAAAACCTGAAAGACGTGGAAGAAAGCGAAAAACTACCATTCGAATGGATAGAAGAATAGCCAAAATGGCAAGGACTCAGCCAGCAATCAGCTCCAGGAAGATAAAAGAAGGTCTAAAGTTACCGGTGAGTACTGTTACAATTAGAAGACGCCTATGTGAAGCCAAGCTATCTGCAAGAAGCCCCCGCAAAGTCCCACTGTTGAAAAAAAGACGTGCTGAAGAGGTTACAATTTGCCAAAGAGTACATTGACCGGCCTAAAGAGAAATGGCGCAACATTTTGTGGACTGATGAAAGTAAGATTGTTCTTTTTGGGTCTAGTGGCCGGAGACAGTTTGTCAGACGACCCCCAAACACTGAATTCAAGCCACAGTACACTGTGAAGACAGTGAAGCATGGTTGCACAAGCATCATGATATGGGGATGTTTCTCATACTACGGTGTTGGGCCTATTTATCGCATACCAGGGATCATGGATCAGTTTGAATACATCAGAATACTTGAAGAGGTCATGCTGCATTATGCTGAAGAGGAAATGCCCTTGAAATGGGTGTTCCAACAAGACAACGACCCCAAACACACCAGTAAACGTGCAACATATTGGTTCCAGACCAACACGATTGACATTATGGAGTGGCCAGCCCAATCCCTGGATCTTAATCCAATAGAAAACTTGTGGAGTGACATCAAAAATGCAGTTTCTGAGGCAAAACCAAGAAATAGAGAAGAACTGTGGAATGTAGTCCAATCATCCTGGGCTGGAATACCTGTTCACAGGTGCCAGAAGTTGGTTGACTCCATGCAACACAGATGTACAGCAGTTCTCGGAAACGGTGCTTATACAACTAAATATTAATTAAGTGATTCAAAGGAAAGCAAAATCTTCAAACATTTTTCAGTTTATATAGTGAATGTTTGAGTTTGTAAAGAAGAATACAAACACTGCTATTTTTTTTAACAGTTTAATATTCACTTTTCTTCAATTTTTTTAGAGGAATAACACAAATTTGATATATTTTTCTTCATGTTTTGATTTGGAATAGAATGTGTAGTGTTCCCAATGCATTTGTGTGTATGGAAATAAAAGCTATTAGAAGGATTTTGAGCTTTATTCACTTTTTTCAACACATTGCTATTATTTTGAACACAACTGTAGATGTTAATTACTTCAGTACTGCAGGGCAGCAGCTACAAAGAGCAACTGCAGCCAGTATTTCTTTCACTATCCATTCTTAGCCTAGCACCTGGCTACATGTATGTATACATTTCTTAGCTTTTGGTAAATTTTTGTGACCAGCTTTATACCTGAAAGATTTGCCAGCATCCTATCTACCTTCTGTGGTCATCATTTTGAACAATTAAAATGATTGTAAAGCATATTTTTTTAATTAAAATAATAAACATGTTATACTTACCTTCTATGTGCAATATTATTGCACAGAGCAGCCCCAAACCACCTCTGCTGAGGTCCCCTGCTCACGAGCTGGGCTGTGGCCATTTATTGACACACATAGTGCGGCTCAGCCCCATCCCCTGCTCTCTGCTCACAAGATTTGATTGACAGCAGCAGGAGCCAATGACTCTTGCTGCTGCCTCTGTGAGCACAGAGAGTAGAAGAGAGCCGGTGTAGATGGATACAGCACTGGATCGAGTCCAGGCTCAGGTACATATACAGGGGGGGCGAGGGGGCAACACAAATACAGGGACAGGTTTTATCTTAATGCAGGGAATGCATTAAGGTAAAAAATGTCCAGCCTTTAGAACCAATTTAGGCACGTCTTGAAGCCTCTGTGGATCCTGAGCATTGTGTTTCAGTCCCATGTTCACACCTACATTTGCACCATTGGAAGCATTAGGAGATAGTGTACTATTTTTAAAAACATGGGGATACAATGTTGTGTAACTTCTTGACCAGCATGGCACTCTATAGGTAGCTGTAATGTATGGTCCCTTTATATTTCTAAGAAAACCTATTTGTCATTGTAAATGATTCCTTCCTAATGTAGCGTGTCATAACAGTATTTAATTTACTTTACTCTTTTTTCTTGCCAGCTGCAGGACAGAGAATCCTACGTCACACTTCTTGTTGGAGCAAAGTATGGCATCAGTCAGATTATCAATAACAAGCTTAACATTATGATAACTTTAGCTGAATTCTCCAACATCAGTAGGCTAGAGCTGACACCGGAGTCTGAGAAAGTGAGCCTAGTAAAAGTCTATCTACAGGATGTAAAGGTGACTTCAATGTATTACTGTTATTCTCTGAATGACCCTGAATTCACTTCTATGTTAATGTTGTGTGCAGTATTTCTAGTCTGCCAGAAAGGATAAAAGGTGGAAAAAGAGAGCACATGTAATGATGAATTTGTACTGGATATTAGAGCTGAACTCCAGGCACATAGGCACATAAAATGCATATGTAAGAGCTGCAATCCTGCCAAAGGAATTGTGTTTCTGTCTATCCATTACTCTGATTTACACAACTCTGACACACAGCACAACCAGCCTTGACTTTTCTTGAGTGCAGTTTTATAACATAACTAGGCGTTATCCATCTCCTAGCCTCTACTTGGATAGTGAAGGAGATGCAGGAGAATGAGTTCATCTTTGTCAAATTGCTCTATTCTCCTGTCACCATGCTGCTTGCACTTTAGTACAACTGATTGGCTCCTAGTGCTGCTTCTCCTACTGCTAGCCTGAGCTCTGCTTAACCCTTTCACGTTAAGGGTAAAACAAATCTTAATTTTACAGCTTTGACATGTGTTAGTAAAACCGTACATATCATCACGACTACTTTGTACATCCAGGTGAATTATACCTTGTTTTTTTCAGGACAAATTGGGTTTCATTTGGTGGTAAATGGTAATGGATATCTCCTGAATTTTTTTTTATTAGTAAAGGAAAACTGGCCCAAAATAGTAAAAAAATATATATTTTTTTAAATTAAGCTGTGTGTTTCTTGTTACTACCATAACCTACCACCAAAGAACAACCCAAAATAAATTTTCCAGCTCTTGATGGTTGCAGCAATACCATATATGTGTATACCTTTTGTTGTTTGTACCTGTACTACAGCCCAGAAACAATAGTGCACATTTAGTTTTTTTTACCTGAAACACACTGATACTGACACTAACTGATACTGATACCAATTTTAAATTTTTTTAAAAATCCTAACCTTTGACCCTGACCTTTGACCTTAACCTTGACTCAAACACTAACCCTGGCACTGAACTAAATCAAACCTTGATATAGGTATTTTTTCTTTATTTTTTCTTTTCTTTTTTAATATTTATCTTTTTTTTTCCACAAAGTTGTTTTTTTTCTCTATGAAAGGAGAGAGAGAGATACAATGTATCTCTCTCCTCCATTCAGAGAGAAAAAAAAAACAAGGGGGGGCAGGCTTCACAGTGACTGATCACTGTGATAGCCACTCAGAGGTTATCACAGCGATCATGTGACCTGGAATCAGGAGTCCCGGGTCCCGATTGTTAGAATGGACCCGGGACTCTCAGTGACACCGTGATGTGCGGTACGCTCCGAGCATAAAGACAGGTACGCAAATATGCGGCACCACGGAAAAAAGCCCAGTTCTGTGAGACCGCATATTTTGTGTGACGTCGGCACCAAGGGGTTTTAATTGCACTGCAGGAATTTCATACCAAGTCAAATTCAGGTACCTACAAAGAATACATTTAATTATTTAATATGTCATATTCATACCAGCTGTGTGTATATCTAATCCACTGTAGTGCGCTGTGATGAATCACAGCTGATTGGTAAACACTGAGCATAAATTCAACATTCCATTCTCTTGCGTTGGGACTGTATTTGGCAAGGCTTCCCAATGCAGCTGGTGAAACAAGACATTGATTAATACAGAGCTGCATTAATTTGTGTCTTTGATATCTGCCTGGAGTTCAACTTTAAAGCAAAATGCAGAGGGAAAGCTAAAAGATACTGTCATCTATAAAAAAAAAACCCAGAACACTAAATTCTAGGAAGGTTAAACGTTTACAGCTTAAGCCCCATTCACACTTGAGCTTTTTTGTGCTTTTTTTAAGCACGTTTTTGGAGCAGCACCATTCATTTAAATGGGCCTCCATCCACTCCAAAAACATGCTAAATTTCCAAGCATGTTTTGCTTTGTGGATTTTGTTACATGGAAAACACGCAACTGCTACCCATCTTTGGGGTGCCATTAGGAAATAATGGCACCACAAGTTTCTGCTTGGCCAGGTGTGAACAAAAAAATATATTATACAAAATGCACAATACCATAACTCACCAATTTATTCCAATACATTTCAAAGCAGGTGGGTAACTTACATAAGGCACACTGTGTTACAAGGGAGTAATTTACCCACATACACATATATAATATACGCATATACAAAAATAAAATATACACCAAGTTTATAGGGAACCTTTCTCAAAAAAAATATGGGCGCTGCCATTTCTGAGCTCCTTGTGAGAATGCTAGTTGTCTGGCTATTGTGTTAACTAGAGATGAGCGAATCGAACCAGGCGAAGTGGAATTCGTTTCGAATTTCAGGAAAAA